TTTATAGTTTTAATTAAGTTTATAAAAATTGTGGCCATTATTTCTTCAAATATTTTTTTCTGTCCCCTTTTCTGTCCTTTGGGGACTTCAATTGCACACATATTAGGCTGCTTGGAGCTGTGCCACAGCTCACTGATGCTCTGTTCATTTTCTTTTAAGTTTTGTTTTCCCCCATTTTAGGTAATTTTCATTGTTAGCACTTCAGTTTCAATAATCTTTTTCATGCAGTATCTCATCTGCTAGTAATCTATCCAGTGTATTTTTGTATCTCTAGTTGTTCTATTTCTGTATTTTTTATATCTTTCATTTATCTATTCAGTCTTTCCTTTAGCTTTTGAACATATAGAATACTGTTTTAGGAACTATTTTAATGTTCTTGTCTACTAATTCTGTCCTCTGTGTCATTTCTGGGTTGGTTTTGAATGATTGTTTTTTCCTCTTTGTTATGGGTGGTATTTTTATGCCTTTTTGTATGCCTGGTAAATTTCAGTTGGATGCCAGTGTCATATTACTCTTGTAACAAACACAATACAAATGTTTTATCTTACAATTATGGAGGTCTGAAGCCCAGGATGAGTTAGCAGAGTTGTGTTCCTTCTGGAGATTCTAGGAATGGATCCACTTCTTTGCCTTTTCCAGCCACTAGAAGCTGTCCGATTCCTTGGCTTATAGCCCGCATCACTCCAACCTCTGCTTCTGTTACATCTCTTTCTGGTTCTGTTGTCAAATTATAGTGAGGTAATACCTTCAATGTGCTGATAAAATAACTGTCAACCAGTATTCTGTACTACTGAAGTAATCTTTGAAGGATGAGGACAAAGCAGGCATTTTCAAACAAACCAAAATGGATACATTTTGTCACCAGCAGACTCTTACTAGAGGAAATGTTAAAGAATGCCCTTCAGACAACAGCCAGATGATTCCAGGTATAAGGCCTGAGATACAAGAGGGAATGATTAGCCAACATATTGGACAGTTTGTTGGTAAATATAAACAAACTTTGACTTATACAATAATGTAATGCCTAACAAGATTTAAAAGTTGAAAATAAAAGATACAGGGCTTCCCTGGTGGCACAGTGGTTGGGAGTCCATCTGCCGATGTAGGGGACGTGGGTTCGTGCCCTGGTCCAGGAAGATCCCACATGCTGCAAAGCGGCTGGTCCCGTGAGCCATGGCCGCCGAGCCTGCGCGTCCGGAGCCTGTGCTCCGCAACGGGAGAGGCCACAACAGTGAGAGGCCCGCGTACCGGAAAAAAAAAAAAAAGATACAGCATTTTGTACCTGAAAACAATAACATAAACATGAAACAAAACTTGAAAACAATAGCATAAAGGTTAGGAAAGGGGTGATTGGGAATTAAGTATGTTAAGATCATTCTGTTCTTTGGGAAGGAAGTAAAATTATTGACTAATTTTATTTATTTATTTTTAAAGTTAATTAATTTATTTTTGGCTGCGTTGGGTCTTTGTTGCTGTGCATGGGCTTTCTCTACTTGCGGCAAGGGGACACTACTCTTCGTTGCGGTGTGTGGGCTTCTCATTGTGGTGGCTTCTCTTGTTGTGGAACACAGGCTCTAGGCATGTGGGATTCAGTAGTTGTGGCACACCAGCTCTAGAGCGTAGGCTCAGTAGTCATGGTGCATGGGCTTAGTTGCTCCACGGCATGTGGGATCTTCCCAGACCAGGGCTCAAACCTGTGTCCCCTGCATTGGCAGGCAGGGTCTTAACCACTGTGCCACCAGCGAAGTCCTTATTGACTCATTTTAGATTGTTACCATGCGAAAGTATGCATGCTAAACTATTTACTGAGCCACAAAAGTAATAAAACAAAGTATATGACCTATAAAATAGTAAAGGGAATAAGAAAAATATAGAAAAAGACTCTCAATCCGCCCCCCCAAATATATCAATAATAATAAATTTAAATGAGCTAAGTTATTAAGTTAAAAGTTGCTAACCTGGATTAAAACTGTGTACTTATATGTATTTATGTAGTTATAAAGACACATCTAAAATATAAAGATACTGAGAATTAGAAAGTTATATACCAGTCAAATAAAATAGTCAAAGAAAGCTGGTTTACAATATTAGCAACAAACATTACTGGAGATATAGAGAGGTATCACATAATGCTAAATAGGTTCAGATTACAAGAAAGATATAATAATTGTAAATTTATATGTACCTAATAAGTTAGCCTCAATATATAAAAAACAAAAACAGAGCTGCAAGGGGGTATGGACAAATCTGTTGTTATGGTGCGAGATTTTATCACTCAGTAATTGATAAAACAGACCAAAAAAATCAGCAAGGATATAGAAGATTTCAACAGCACAATTAACAAGCTTGAGCTGATGGAATATGTGAAATATTTCACCTAAAAATTAGAGCAAACTCATTCTTTTCAAGCACACAAAATTATACCCTTTAAAATTACTAATTGTATATTATATAACTTTCACCTCAAACTATATTGAAATCAATTTTGGTCTATCATATTGGTAAAGATACATTAAGTCTGATTATACATTGAGTTGTTGAATCTGTGAGGAAACAGATCCACTGTGTCATCCACTGTGGTGGGAGTGTAAATTGATAACTTCTGTGGATGGCAATATGGCAACGTTTGTCAAAATTATTAATGTCCATACCTATGACTCAGCAGTTCCATTTCTAGATAGTATCCTACAGATATACACAAAAATGATATTTATTGGGCTTCCCTGGTGGCACAGTGGTTGGGAGTCCGCCTGCCGATGCAGGGGACATGGGTTCGTGCCCTGGTCTGGGAAGATCCCACATGCTGTGGAGTGGCTAGGCCCGTGAGCCACGGCCGCTGAGCCTGCGCGTCCGGAGCCTGTGCTCCGCAACGGGAGAGGCCACAACAGAGAGAGGCCCGCGTACCGCA